GAATACTGGATGCACCCCTGCCTCTGGATGGTTGCATCAGACCCTGTCTGTGCCCTACCATGAATACTGGATGCACCCCTGCCTCTGGATGGTTGTGCATCAGACCCTGTCTGTGCCCCACCATGAATACTGGATACACCCCTGCCTCTGCATGGTTGCAGCAGACCCTGTCTGTGGGGAAATTCCAGTCCCCTTTCTCTTTTCACATAATCCCTTTAAGTCTCAGCTCAGGGGGCCCCATCTCCAAATATCAGAGTCGGCAACCTTCTCCCAGGAGCCGCCTCACTCCTGGGCAGTTTCTGTGTGATGGCGCCTCCTACAGGCAGAGCTGGCTCTGCTGTCTCCCTTTTTCATGAAATATAAGACAAAGGTGGAGTTGCAAAGCATCACTTGGAGATCACAGCGCCATAATGTGTGGAACGTTCCATACTCATGAGTCCATTTCTGTGACTTACAATAAGAGACAAATAAAGTCATAGTCTATTCTAGCAGTTCACAACCAGTGGGTTGAGACCCCTTTGGGGGTCAAAGGACCCTTTCACAGGATTGCATATCAGATATCTTGCATAGGAGATATTTGCATTATGATTCATAACAGTAACAAATTACATCTATGAAGTTATGAAGTAGCAACAAAATGATTTTATGCTTGAGGTCACCACCACATGAGGAAACCACTGGTCTATTCTTTATTTGTTTTGTTGAGTTGTTGTTATTGTTGTTGTTTTTTAGAGACAAGGTTTTATTACATAGGTCTGGCTAACCTGACAGGCGCCATGTAACCCAGACTGGCTTTGACCTGGTGCCAATCCCCTTGCCGTGGCCTCCCTACCACCAGGATTACAGGCGTGTGCCACCACATCCAACTTCACTATTAAAATTCATCTTGTCTTAAGTAAAACAAATATGTACAGGCTTACAAATTATTTCTATCATAGTTGGGAGAGAGCCTACACCTAAGAGCTAAAATTATGAAGGATACCATCACTGTCAATAACCTGGTATTGCAGGTAGCTCAGTCCTCCTTTAGAAGGACAGCCAAGTAGTAGCCACCTATGGCCAAGAAGCTTGTCTTGAGTGGGTAGTGTCCTACCCAGTTCTTCCAAGGCCTAAGTTGGAGAAGGCAGATGGGTTCTTCCTTTCACCTAGATCTCAGAAGTCACTAAAGGACAGAGCCTTGTGAATTCAGTGCTGAGAAACCAGTAGAGTGATGTTGATGGTTCCTTAATGGTGCTTGGAATGGTGGGTACTGGACAGGGTGAAAGTGCTGAATTAATTAATTCATGCTCTGGACCTCCGCTCATTCCCCTAACTGCTCTAGAAAAAGAACAATGAATTCACACCTGGTTAGAAGACATGCTTCTGACCCACTCTTTGTGGAAAAGCACTTCCAACCCGCAATTTTTCTTATCTTACCCCAGGTTTGGACTATCTACTCCTGGCCAAGTTGCGTTGATGCCCTCACTCTGAGCACATTTCTGCTTCTTCATCCCATGACCACAGGCTTGTGGAACTCCTCGGCTGTGCCTTGTTCACATCCACGATGGCTGGTTCTCAGAACTCATGGGAATGTTAACTTCTAACTCGAGTCCACACCTGAGAAAACATGACCGCCATTTTTATTCAAACCACCATTCCCAAGATTAAGCAATCACCAACTTGGCTCTTGTCAACTCAGAGTCTGAATTTTTCTGGTGACTCAGTAATCACCTGCCCTGAGATCTCCAAGAATAGAAGGAAAGTCACATCTCAGCCCTGAAACTTGCCTGAGGATGTTCCCGAGCTTCTGTGTGTCTCAGTTTCTTCAGCCATGACACAAGGACAGTGATGATGTCTCTCCTGTAAAGCAATTGGAGAGAATAATATATCTAACTTTTGGTCGCTCAGCCACTTATGAGTGTCTGTTGTGATGACCGTAGGCTGTAGCATCATCCATGAGACCAGCTCTGTCCTTGGAGCATGTCAATTGACTGGGAAACATTCTGCCTAGGGTAAGGAACGCAGTGCCTGGTACTAGACACAGACGTAAGTGTAAATTATCACACTTATGGCAGGTTAACTCGGGTTTCTGTTTCCAATTTTATGTTGGCTTTTCCCTTGTCTTGGAGTGTATGCTCTGCCTGGCAATTTGGTAGGCACAGGTATTTCCCAGTGACAGAAAAGCTGGAAAGAAATACAGTCTCACAGTTCAGATTTGCGTTCGGTCTTGGAGGTGTGAGTGACAGTTATGTTGCAAACGTGGAAATCTGCATCCCTTTCTTCCCAGGTTGGCACCTCAGGGTTCTAGTTTCACGAAGCATGCCCTGGTACGTAGAAGATAATGGGGTTCGCATGCCCCTGTTGGCACTGCCTCAGAGCTGGCCACTGCATCATCGGCTCAGATAAAAGACATGGTTGGGTCAGCGACACTCACACACCCACTGCCTATCAAGACAGCAGAAATCCTTAATGCTGAGAGGTGGTATTTACCAGTGTGGCAGCAACTCCACAGACATCCACTGAACTCCTGCCGAGGGGGTGAATGCAGTACCTGCCATGTGGACAGGTGTGACATGAACTCTTGTTTAATTAATGGGGGGAGGAAGGAAGGAGAGAAGGGAAGGAAGGAAAGAAGGAAGGAAGGAAGGAAGGAAGGAAGGAAGGAAGGAAGGAAGGAAGGGAAGGAAAGAAAGAAGGAAGAAATGAAGGAAAGAAGGAAGGATGGATGGAAGGAAGGAAAGAAGGAGGGATGGAGGGAGGGAGGGAAGGGAGAAGAAAAGGAAGGAAGGTCTGTATACTGTGACTTCACTGAAGAATCCATAATGTTTTCTCAACCAAACCCACAAGAAATTAGTCAGAAGACAGAAGCCGACCCCCAGGTGCTATAAACACGACTGAGAGCACAGATCCAGATGAGCAGTTAATGGCTGGCTGACTACAACCTGAAAATTCCCCCAGACAACTGCATCTCAGGCAGACCTTCCCCAGCAGCAGCGCCAGGGACACTATCGTTTTCACAAAGCTAACGGATGGTGTTCAGTCTGTCAAAGGTCACGTGATTGAGGAGAGAGAAGCTTGTGCAGGAAGAAAGAGGCTCCCAAACCCAGGGAATGGAGAGCAGTGTTGAGGTCTAAGAAATGTTGACCAAAGATGCGGAAGCAGAGGCAGAGGTGAACACTGGGAAACGTAGGATGAAAACAGTAAACAGCTTAATGAAAGGCCAGAGTGATAGCTTCCCACATGCCTCCTAAGGGTTCCTTGGCATGATGACATCTCTTGGGAAGCCCCATCCCTTGCCTCCCAGATTTGATCGGCATATGATTTGCATATGCTTTCTGGAAGACTCTCTGGGTCACTCTTAGGCGTGACATTTTGGGGAAAACATTTCCCCAAAGCGTCGGGCTCACTATTGTTTAATCCTCTCAACTACCCAGGGAAGAGGCATGGCTGTTGTGTGAATGACTCTTAGGTGACACTGTGGACCACAGTACTTAAAGGAAACAATTTAAGGGATGGATGATTCATCATGGTTTCAGAGGGTGGCAGCCCACCATGGTGGCTGCCATGGTTGGAGTGTGTGTGGTGGATGCTTCTCACATCATGAGAAACCAGGATGCATAAAGTGATGGAATTAGCCAGGTAGAGCATTCATTGACCCGTCCCCTAGTGACCTTGTTCCACCAGTCAGTCCCCACCTCTGGAAGGCTCTACAGCTTTCCAAAATATACCATCAGTGGGGGAACAAAGTGTTCAACCTATGAGCCCATCGGGGCAGCATTTTGGATCAAACCATAAATTGTCAGCAATATTGAGGGTCAGAGAAATGAAGTGATCCGTCCAAGGTCATGCAGCTGCTGAGTTCCAAGTTGTGACAAACATAAACCTCAGACATCAAACTCTTACTGGATTCCCCATTCTGAATTCAGGGCTGCAGGACAGAGCCTGTGAAGGGGAAGCGTGGGTAGTGGCTTTGAAAGTGTGCCCTGATAATAACAGCAGCAGAGATCGATAAAGACAATGATATGGTTTTTCTATCTGTGAAAAGGAAACAGAACACAGCACTCTGGCTGTGGCAAGACTTTATCAGGAGACTCTGATGAATGAACAGCCTGACGCAGCTTCCCTAATCGACGCTGGAGATTTCCATCTCTGAGATACATTGTAGCAACGTGCTTGGGCACTGGTGCCATTTCCGCCCTGCCTGTGATCGGCGCATCTCTGTTTTCAAATGAAAAGGTCAATAAACACATGCAAGGAGGAGAGCAAGAAAGAGGTGACGTTAAAGGAGCTGTGGGGACTGGGAGAAGCCTCGGTGAACACACTTCGTGACGACTGGAGTTTGGTCCCTCGGCATCCACATAAATGTGGAGTGGATGTGTTGGCCCACCTCTGATCCCAGCACTCAGGAGACCAGACAGGAATCTTTGGAATGGGCTGGCTAGTCAGGCTAGCCAACTTGGTGATATCCAGATTCAAGTGAGAGACCTTGCCTGAGCACATAAGATGGAGAACACTCTAGGAAGATGTCCAATGTCTGTCAACCTCTGGCCTCCACAAACTCATTCACACATGTACGTGTGCACCTACACCCATACTTGTGCACACACACATATGAACACAAACACACACCACATAACATAAGCACATACATCACACGTATACATCCATCACATCGCATGCACATATATAACACACACATGTATCATATACACATCACACATATATACAACACACATATATTACACACACACACACACAAAAAAAAAAAAAAAAAAAAAACCTCCACCCTCCCCCAAAGCAGCTATCAATCAGAATAGTACTGAACTTGGGGTCACAACCTATACCTTCCAAAAGCCAAGTTCAGCCACTCTTTCTTCAAATCAATTGATTAAAACAACAAAATTAATAGTAAAAGGCAGGAAAGGGAGATTTATTCAAAGTGGTCACATGAGGAAGGGGGACAAAGAGGTCCAGTGAACCCCTTAGGTTCATCTTTTGGGAACTGGAGAGAGATTACATGAAGAATCTGGCCTGTGCACACACCTAAGCAGTTCTGATCAGATGACATCCTGCCCAGGAGGAACCCACCACAGTCTGAACGTCAAGCTTAGGCTGTAAGGTCGTCTGTTGAGTTGTTGAACGATGTGAATTCTCTTTCCAGGAGTCAAGTTCTCTCCATTGAAGCCTTTTTCTCCCCTTAGCATGAGATTCTTGGGGAAATTCCCATTTCTTGGGGTCCACCATGTCACTAGCCTGATAGTCAGATTGAGAGACACACGTGTCTCTTTAGAATGTCTTTGTTTCTGTCGGGCTATTTGCTAGAGCATGGGGTGAGCCCTTGTTTGAGCATGTTAACTGTGGACAGATGGACCTGGAAAAGGTGGACCATATTCAGCATCAAATACCCAAGGTCATGAGTCTGTGAGAACCAGAATTATTCTCAGGTTCCACCTGCCTCCCAACACAACCTGACCACCCAAAATCCTCATAGGGAGGAGACAACCGTGTAAGAGCTGAAGGATCCCAGGTTGGACTCACAGACTTCAGTGTTCTGCCCGACTTCTGAAGGTTGCCTGGTCCACCTGCCAGGAAGAGCAGCATTCTTGGACCTCCTTGTGTTTCTGTATCCCACCCCTGTACCTTACCTGCTGACAACCGCTGATGCCCCTCATGTAAGATCTTTTTAATCACTCTGATGTTAGTTACAGCATCTCCCCAGTGGGCTGGAACTCCACATGGCCAGAGCCTCTCCTTGTCTCTGTTTGTGTCCCATACAGCTCTGCCTGTGACATTCGTGGGTGCTGCAAAAACATTTTCTGAATGGAAGAAGAATGCTAGAACAAGAGCTTCCTCCATCCTCGGATGCAGCCTCATTCTCAGTTCTGACTGCCTCTGTTTGGTGATGGCCCTTACAAATAGAAGGGCCTTTGTTCTTAAGTTTGGGTCAACACACACACATTGTGCATACTTATTTGGCTCCACGTAATATCCAGCGAGTGTCTACAGTGAATACTGATCAAATCAGAGCAATGAACATTTCTGTCTCCTCATCATATTTTTGTATTTAGCTTCTCTCAGGCAGAGCAACACAGGCCTGTTATCCCAGCACTGAAAGGCTGAAGCAGGGGGATGGCACATTTGAGACTAGTTTGACTATGCTGATCCTGTCTCCAACAACAAAATAGTCTGTAGCTTTAAACGTCTGTCTTACCTAGGGTTTCTATTGTTATGAAGAGACATCATGACCATGGCAACTCTTATAAAGGAAAACATTTAACTGGGGCTGGCTTACAGTTCAGAGGTTTAAAAGTACATGATTGTCATGATGAGAAGCATAGCAGCTTGCAGACAGATAGAGAGCTGGAGAAGGAGCCAGGAGTTCTATATCCCAATCTACAGGCATCAGGAGGTGAACTGGTTTGAGCTTCTGAGATCTCAAAGCCCACCCCCTAGTAACACATTTCCTCCAACAAAGCCACACCTACTCCAGCAAGGCCACACCTACTCCAGCAAGGCCACACCTACTCCAACAAAGCCACACCTACTCCAGCAAGGCCACACCTACTCCAGCAAGGCCACACCTATTCCAACAAAGCCACACCTACTCCAGCAAGGCCACACCTACTTCAACAAAGCCACACCTACTCCAGCAAGGCCACACCTACTCCAACAAAGCCACACCTACTCCAACAAGGCCATACCTCCTAACAGTTCCATTCACTACTGTGGTGGTTTGAATAGGTGTGGCCCCCATAGACTCATGTGTCTGAATGCTTGGTCTTAGAAAGCGGCACTTGTTGGAGTAGGTGTGGCCTTGTTGGAGGAAGTGTGTCACTGTGGAGAGGGCTTTGAGGTCTCCTGTGCTTAAGCTATGCCCCATTTGGCTCACAGTTGCTTCTGCTGCCTGTGGATCAAGCATTGAACTCTCAGCTCCTCCTCCAGCACCATGTCTGCCTGCACACCACCATGATTCCCACCATGATGATCATGGACAAAACCTCTGAAACTGTAAGTCAGCCCCAATGAAGTGCTTTCCTTTATAAGAGTTGCCATGGTCATGGTGTCTCTTCACAGCAATAGAAACCCTAAGAGACCAATGGTCCAAGTATTCAAACACATGAGTCTATGGGGGCCATTCCCATTCAAACCACCGCCACCACCACCACACACACAGACATGCAGACACACACACACACACACACACACACACACACACACTCACACACACACAGACACAAGTTCTGTTTTCCCCAATTCAATCTTTGAGCAACTTTCTTAGCTGACTGTGGTTTTTGGGCTTCCATCTGGGCGTTAGACATTCTTTCTGCTGAGTAACAGCACCTCCAACCCATACCCACACCCATATGCACATACTTTCAGGTTCCCACGCTTCCTTCCTTGATTTTCTCCAAGTTCACTTTTAGGCAACCTTTTACACTCACTGAAACACGACTTCCTGGGGCTGCCTTTCTAGGCTCTGTAGGCTCAGCTCCTTCCTCACACACTTCCTCAGCATCCCGCATCTCCACCTCCATCCACATCTGTCTTCCCTACAGATTTCACTTTGTGAAGTCCACAAAGGCAGGCCTGGGTTTTCTCCTGAAATTTCTGCTGAATTCCCAGAGCTTGGCATGGTGCTAGAGAGTAGGAGCTTTGTAAACATTGCCTTTGTGAATAAATTCAAGCCTGCATAGCAAGTCCATGGGTAGATCCCACTGAAATCATTTTAAACATAGATCCCCCACTCCCCAGGCTGCTATTGAAGACAGAGGAGCTCAGGTCTCCTGACTGTGACAAAGCGGCCCTCATCCCCACTTCTCCTCCAGGTCCAGTCTCCTGATGAGCCAATCCGGTCCTTTGCCTACCACCACAGGCTCTGACTCAGGGAAGCTAAGGCCATTGCCAAACGTGTGTGGTGCACACCATACGTGGCAAGCACTTTGGGACCTGGCTCTTTTACAAATGTATTATTCAGGCCTCTAGCTAAGGAACAATAGGTTGTTCTAGGAAGCAAATAAAGCAACCAACTCAGCCTCTAGAATGAGAGCAATATTTGAAGCGGTCGAGAGAATTGTGCTGAAATTGCAAAGCCGAGAGGTCAAGGGGGGGGAGGCATCCAGCTTCATATTCACAGAGAGCCCCAGCGCCGGCCTTGAGGCCACGGGGGAAGAGAGAGGGGCTGAGCATGGGAGAAAAAACACATGGAGACCTTTTATTGCTTTTGTTTAAGTCTAATTACAGAAATCATAAACACATGCAAAAATCTTCCATAATTAACCGCCCAGAGATAATGATGTTTAACGTTTAGCTGTATGCCCTTTTAGCACTCGGAAAGATGGCCTTCAGGGCACCCTTATTATTTCACAGCCAGCCTCCGTCAGCCAACAATACAGCCTGGCTATGATGAAGCAGGGAAGCCCATGGCACAATTCTAGGATGTGGCTAAATATTCGTCCATTCGGTGATTCTTAGCGAGGTGCCCAAGCCTTGATTTCCACATCTATAAGCTGGGGACAATCATGCGCTGACCCCACTCTGTCAGAAGGGAAGATGGTCCGGTCAGGAAAGTGCAGACTGCATAAGTGTGAGGACCTGAGTTCAGACCCCCGGGACCCAGGTAAAGAGCTGAACCTGATGGCATGTGCGTGGGGAGGCAGAGGCAGGTGGATCCTCAGAGCCTGATGGTCATTCAGTCTAGCTAACCTAATTGGTGAAACTCGGGCCTGTTAGAGACGCCGCCTCCTGAAACCAGCTAGATGGCAGGCACCTGAGGATGACCTCTGGCTGCCACAGGCACAGGCATTCACACTCACACACAGATGCATGGGAATAAAAGTATGTTATAAACCTGATGTATAAAAGATGATCAGGCAGCGTTCTTGTTGCTAGAATAAGATCTGCCATGTTGGTGTAACAGCAACAGCAACTTTGTCGTGTGGTATTTTAATAGCAGTGGTGGCTGACACCCCTCCCCATCTCCTTCTCCTCCTCTTCCCCCTTCTCTGCTTCTGCTAGCTGGGGCTGCAGATTGATCCAGGCCAAGGACCCCCAGAAGAACAAAGAGATAGCTCCTGCAAATGAACTCAGCCACTGGGTGGGAAATCCACAGCAGATGAATCCCCGAGGAGGGTGGGAGAGGAGAGGATGGAGGTGACAGCTGGAATTCTAAGCACAAACATGAGTTCATTCTGAAGTCAATCAAATTGTTTTCGTTGGATTGAGGAGAAGGATGATGGGAACAACCCACAGCAACCAGAAGGATATTTTTAAATGTAGTTCAGCCCCTCTTGCTCTGTCATAATAAAATCCATTTCTGTCCCTCTCGCCTATGGGATCCAGGATGAAGATCTGACAGCTGCCTCCTTCCGCCCCAGCTTCTCTTTGCTCACCTTAATTAAGCCCCAACTGCTTCCTGGCTGGACTCGTTCCTGCCTGCAGCTTTTTCGTGCCCCAGGGCCTTTGCACTTCCTGTTCTCTTTACCGAAAATGTTCTTTCTCCAGATTTTTATATAATGTCCAATTTGTAATCCTAAAGCACCTCTTCTCTGTTCCACCATGACCCAGGTAGGCCTGTGGAGGAGGAAGAGAGGGAAAAGGAAGAGTAAGAGGAGGAGAGGAAGGATGAGGAGAGAAAAGGATGAGAGAGAGGAGGAAAAAAGGGAGGGAGGAGAAGGAGAAGGGGAAGTAAACAGGGAAGATGGGAGGGAAGTCAGCAGCTGCTGCCATTGCTAATAACCATTATGTCCAACTCTAGGGCACAGCAAATCCATCGACCATGACATTGCATTTTCTTACATGCTTTACTTTTCCTTTATAGATTTAACTTCTATCCAAAATTATGTATTTTTTAAAATTTTTAAAACTATATTTTATTCATGTGTCTGAATACACATGCATGCAAGCATGCACTAGTACATGTGGAAGTCAGAAAGCTACTCTTGGAGTCTCTTACAAATGTTTACTTTATTGTTAATATATGCATATATGGAGGGGGGCATCCACACAAGCAAGGGCAAGTGTCCAAGGAGCCAGAAGCCAGTGTCAGATCCTCTGGAGCTGGAGTTACAGGTGCTGTGGGTGCTGGGGACCTTACCCTGCAAGAGTGATGTGTGCTCTTAACCACCAGGCCATCTCTTCAGCCCCAGGAAATCAGTTTTCTCCCACTATCCCATGGGATTCAGCAATGAAACTCGAGTCGTCAGGCACAGGAGCCTCTCCCTGCTGAGCCATCTCTTCAGGTTCCTGTGTGAAGGCAGACATGTGTTTATTTACTGTCAACCTTCTCCTCCAAAGCATAAACACCACCTGTGTCTGCCTGTTCAGTGCTGTAAGATACACTCCTACCTGGAACAGGACTTGGGCAGAATAGATGCTCATTATGAATGAACAGATAAATGAATGGATGGATGAATAGATGGGTGGATGAATGAGTGAATGGATGGAAGGATGGATGAGTGGATGAGTGGATGAATGAGTGGATGGGTGAATGGATGGATAAATAAGCAGATGGGTAAATTAGTGGATGGGTGGATGGATGGATAGATGGATAAATGGATGGATGGATAAATAGGCAGATGGGTGAATGAATGGATGGGTGGATGGATGGTGGATGGATGGATGGATGGGTGGGTGGATAATTGGATGAATGAATGAATGTCTTAGTTAACTGAAGATGTTGAGACCAACAGCTGCTATGGAGTAAAATGAGTCCATCCATTTATGGATCTGAGATGACCTGGTCTGTATGTTTGCCTCCATTCATATATTTGAAGCTGATCCCCAGGGTGGTGATACAGGAAGCCACTGGGCAGGTGACTGAATCTTGAAGGCTCTGCCAGCGCTCGGTGGGGTCAGTGTCCTTATAAAAGGGGGAGAGACTCCCCACACCTTTGGCCATGCTGACGACACAGTGAGCCATCAGCTTGGAAACTCAAAGTGAGCCTTCACCACACTGGGTACCCTGTTCACAGACGTCCTAATCCTTATGACTGTACCAGATACATTTCTGTCATTTGGAGGCTACCTGGTTTATGGACTATAACACCATACGTCATTACAGTGGTTGAGGGCAGAGACTAGAGGGCTCATTGGAAGAGCGGCCCCATTTGTTCCCAGCTGTGCGACCGCGGGCAAGTCACCGGAGCCCTCTGTTTCCCATCTGGAAAATGAAAGGGACAGTGGTGTCTACACCATGGGGCTATTGTAAGGATTAGATGAGATAATATAGGCAAATCACTCGGTGAAGTGTCTGGTACCTAGGAAGCCCTTAATAAAAGTTGCTTCATGCGAATAATCGATTAATTCATTGAGCCACCCTCCCTTTGGTAACTGTTTCCATTATTTAATCATTAACATTTTTATCCATTTCCCATGAGTCTCTCCTCCACTCCGAGGTCATGCTTCTATCTGTTCGCAGGCCATGCCCATCATCTACTGTCATTGACGGTCTGAGTGGATGTTTTCTAAGCTTCCTTTTAAGGATCCTGAGATGACGGAAAGAAAGATGGTTTAAATGCCACCAGCCTTCAAAGTCCTTCCACATCTACCCCAGGTGTATCTTCACGATACTCGACATCCCCAACCCCCTAGCCCAGAGCCCCAGCGTCCATCTGTCCATCTCCCTGCAGCCCCAGGCCTCTTTCCCTAACTCAGCTCATCTGAGTGTTTTCTGTGCACACACTGCCCCCAACCTGTGTTGCTTGCTGCCCTTTACTTCCAATTGAGATGGCCTTCATCTTCAAGATACCTAAAGTACAGGGATCCTTTATTTCCTGTTGGGATGACATTCATCCCCAAGATACCTAAAGTACAGAGACCACCCCACTTCAGACCAGTGTTTATGCCTACAGTCTTGTTCTCTTCAGTTTCCTAGGGGAGCTGGAGAATGAAGCTAAAGATGACCAGGGTAGAAACAATGTCCATGCATTTGGATCTTGCTACATAGAGGTGTAAAAACCAAGAGTCAAGCTTGGTTAAAAACAGGCTCAACCAACAGCCTGTCCCAATGCCTGCCTGTTGGATACTGCCTCTGCTTGACCTGTATTCTCATGGTGTGCCCTCAATAGCAGTATGAGCCCATTGATTTGTTTTGTTGTTGTTGTTGTTGTTGTTTTGTTTTGTTTTGTTTTGTTTTGTTTTGTTTTTTGAGCCCATTGAATAGACACACAGATGGAGGTTCAGGGAGAGAAAAACATACACACTATCACTAGTCCTAACTTGCTGAATACCTAGCTAGCTTAATCCTACTCACTTGGTTTATTTCCGTATTCCTTTGTATTTATTGTGAAAATAGGTGTTTAGTTAGTCAACATCTTAATTGTGGTGCTTTCTAATGTTGTAAATTTTGAACAATTTCAAGCTAAAAGTTGAGTCATTTGTTGAACCCACATTTGCCTTTCAACTAGTCACCAAATTCTCTCTTGATGTCCTTTACTCAGGAGGCACACACATGCACACATATGTATATGTGCACACACATGCACATACACTTTTTTTGTTGTTCCATTGATAAGTACATTTAACAACCCTCGTGATTTCACCCCAAATGTATAACAGGCTGAACCAAGCAAGTTCGGCCCCACATGGAATCCAGTCATTATGTTCATTCTAGGCCCTGGTATTTCCCAGCCAGAGGGGACCTTGCCCATGCTTCTGTACATGCTCCACACATCTCTGGCTGACAAGAGTTCTCTTGAGGGAACCATACCCTGCTGTGCTGAAGGGGGATCTGTTTCCCAGGCGATACCCGGCTGAGACTGGCAGGGGGTCCATTTGGTTGAGATAATTCACCCATATTCTCATTCTGTACTGGATAATCTCCACTGTCAACCTTACAGAATTTACAGTCACCATGGAAACACACCTCTGAATGCATCTAGGGTGTTCTTAGGGAGACTGAACAGCAAAAGACTCGGGCTGAATGGGGGTGGCACCAAACCATTGGCTGGGGTCTGAGAAAGAAGTGGATTGAGCACCAGCATTTATCTCTCTCTCTCTCTGCTTCCTGACTGTGGACTCAATGTGTTCAACCGCCTCACACTCCTGCCGGTGTGCTTTCTCCGCCACAATGGACTGCATCCTCAAACTTTGAGGCAGAATAAGCCCTGCGTACCTTAAGCTGCTTTTCTTAGATAGTTTGTCAGAACAATTAGGAAAGTAACTAAATACAGCTTTTTAGCAACTTAAAGAGAAGAACTGTGTCATGGAAGTTACCAACATTGACACTTAGGAAGTCAGGTAGACTCATGGAAGCCACGGAGGGGCAAAGCAAAGATGCAATGTTACAAAGACAAGCAAAGCCCCTCCAGCTACAGCCACGCAGTCAGCAAGAAGAAGCTGCATGGATCATTACGGCCCTGTGGCTCCTGGTCCTCTTCCTTGCTCTCACTAAGGCCTGCTGTTCTGTTTTCTCTGGGTTCCCATGGGACCTTTCTGCTAGGCACAGCAACACGATCATTAGCCTGACTCAGCTGGGACAGCTTTCTATTGACTTCCATCAAGGAAGCCTGATGAAACCACTTGATCCATCTGTGCCTTCCGTAGGGCTGCATCTGGGAACTGGATCTCTCCAAGAGCAACGCTCATTGTGACCGATGGCCCCGGGGTCTGCCCAAGTGGACTCACACACTTCCTGGTGTGACAAATAAGACTGATTAGAAACCATTCATTGCCGAAAATTGTATGTGTACAAAAGGTCTCTGGCGGCTTCCTTATTTAGATGTCACCTCTGCTGTACTGAAAATGCAGAGGACGAATTATCAGGACTCTCATACTTGCACCTGTGACATTACATCATTACATAACACAACCCAGATTCACAGAGACCAGCCGAAGCCTCGGGGGCTTGAATTTTCCTGTCACTGAACTTTCTGGAGAACGATCACTTGTTTGATTGGGGGAGAGATTTTTATTTATCATACACAGGTAACTAATTTATATAAAATTAGATCCTTCTAAGTAGAGATAATACAAATGACAGCCAACGTAATTGGATCTCTCTCCGATGATTTAGGAGGAGACACTTCTGAATGTCACTCCTCTTTATTTAAGACAGTGGGGAAAAAATATCTGGATAATAAAATTAAAGTCTTCCATTTGCTCATTAGAGCCTTCAGGGTGTTACATGTCTATGGGACCAAGTCCAAGCTTAAACATCACACCTCATTTCTCAGGCTGTTCATCAGAATCACTGGCGTCCCCAGCTCAGAATCATTCTACTGGTTCTGTAGTTGAACACATCTGCTGAACTGGTTAAATCTCCATCCACTCCCTTTACTCGGGATTCCAAAGTGGTAAAAGAAAAGCACAGAGCGTTCTGATTTTATATTTATTCCTTATCTCATTCCCAACCTCACCAAGCAATGGAGTTTGAAGATTTGTGTGTTATAGTTATTATAAAATATCGTCTCCTTAATGAAAATGGTACCTGAGAGAATGAGGAGCTAACACTTCATACTTCGAGGCAGCTCCTCAATAGTCTAACTCTTTAACACAGTGGTTCTCAACCCGTGCATCACGAAATGCCCATACTAGACACCAGAGGCTAACAAATGAAAAGCCTGGTGCCAGAAATACTTCCTTGGAGTTGTTGTCCAGTTATGGCCCCATACATTCCCAAATGGCGTAGGGTGTTGCCATTGCTCCTGGTGACCCTCCAGAACCCAACAGTAGGGTCCTACTGCTGACAACTCTATGTATTTGAATTAGAGGACATGAAGAAATCAAGCGAGTCCTGACCTGGAAGCGTCATCTGCACCAGTTAGTTGTCATGCTATCGAAAGTGTCATACACACTACTAGAGAAGGGTAATCATAAACCAAAGCTGGCTGGGAACTCTGTGAGCTACACCAATAATTGACCCTGGCAAGTCATAGCCACTGGTGTAATAGTGGCATAAGCATCATGGGAGTGACCAACCACGTTCTGGTTGGATATAAGCTCTACTCCACAAGATGAAACCATACCGAGCATCATGATTGGACCAAGAACCCGCGGCTAGATAGGCTGTAAAAGAGAATCTACTATTATTATCTTGCTAAATGGACATAACGTTAAACCAACTCCTAATGGCTTCTCATTATACCCCTGAATCAATGCGTCCCTCAACCTTACAAGAGGAGCCTCTATTCCCAGCAGATGGTTATGAACACGGAGACTCGCAACTGGCCAGTGTGTGGACAGTAAGGGACTGCACAGTGCTCAGCCCTAGATGTAACGGGTATACCATACCCTCTCCTCCCAAGGCTCCAAGGTCATTGAGGGAGAGGGGTTGGAAAGAGTGTCTGTCATGCAGGTGTGGTAGGTGGCTGGACACAGCAGGGCAGCTGCACAAGTGACACTCACTGCAGTTGTGACAGAGTGTACTGCACAAAACCTGTGCAAGGCCACAGCAGACAAAACCCCAGCAGAGAGAGGGGAGCTGGGCTCGCCATCCTATTCCTAGCCCGGGAGCTACTGACAAGTGTTTAGCTGCTGTGAAAGGGAAAGACAGTGTTCACTAAGTGTAGCACTTGATAAGTTGACTGTGGTCCAGTTGAAGACCACTTTCCCAACACATCTGAGCAGCACTAGTTGGTCTTGAAGGATTTAAAAAAAAAAAAGACACAAAATTGGGTAGGTAGAGAAGAGGGTGGACCTGGGAGAAGTCAGGGATGGAGGTATGAATATGATCAAAATATGTTGTACAAAACTCTTGAAGATATAATAAAATGTTTCTAAAAGAAACATAATAATAATCGACAACCAAATGTATAATTCAAGTTTGAATAGGGGAAAGTCATGGAAATGGACATTTCTCCAAAAATAATACACATAAAAAATGTACAGTATTGGTCACTAAGAAAATTCAAATCAAAACCACATGAGATTTTAAACTCACCAGGATGGCTAGAACCCCCAAAATGGAAACCATCAGATGCCAAGGAAGCCACAGGAAATCTGAAAATGTGAAAGGCTGTGAGGGGGCACAGCTCCCAGCACCCAATCAGTTAAGTGAGGAACTCCTATGTGACAGAGCCAGTCTATGCTGGTACATAGCACAGAGTCCTGGAAATATTTGTTCAGACAAGTCCGTGCACAAATATTCACAGCAGTATTGTGTAAAACTAAAGACATAAACTACCCAAGTTCCCATCAATGAATAGATGGATGGATAACCCAAAATATTGCATTTCCACGCAATTGAATATTATGCAACCATGAAAAGGTATGAAACGTCGATATATGGCACAACACAGATGAGCCTTGAAATGAACAAAAAATTCCAGATATACTCATAGGATTATTTTGGGGGGAAGGAAAGGACCCAGCGAGAGAGGCACAAGAAAGAAGGGGGTTGAGGGTAAATACAAGCAAAGTGCATGATACTATATATGCCATATGGAGTTGTCACAGTACAATGCCTCATCTTGTACGATGAGCACACATGAATGCCCACATAGTGTTTCCTTGATAGCTCATGACGGACAGGAGCAGGCAAATTTGTAGAAAAAAAGTAGATGGGTGCAGGAGGGGGCTGGGAGTGGAGTTCTGGAAGGGAATGCTCTGTGGGAACAGGGATCCTTTGGGGGTAATGAAATGCTCTGAACAGGGAGATCTCTGAATACACTTGAAGGTATCAGACGAGTGAACTTTGTGTTGGGTAAAAACAAACACATGAAGAGCATGAAGTCACAGCAGGTGCAGCGTGTCAGGGTAAACTCACGTGGTCTGCGGCCATCCCGAAAGGCTTCAGGCTTCCCAGCTCCGTTCAAGGACTGTCAGGTGGCTCTCGGGTCTCATCTTCTGCTGACCTCTGGGGCTTTGATGGCACAGGTGCTCAGGGAACGATGACCTGAGTGAAGAAGCCTGCCGATCGGGTCATGTGGTTTCCCCAGGTGAGCTGTGGTACAGAGCAGAGCAAAAAAGTACAAGAAAGATAAGGTCACGGGCAGAGGCCACAGCCAAGAGGGAGAAGAACAAAACAAAATAAAAAACAAGACAAAACAAACAAACAAACAAAAAACACCACCTTTTCCCCAAAACCCACGTGGCAGAGGGTGGAAATAATGGACGTAGATTAAAATGTAATTTTCCCTTACAAGCTGCAGGGAGGCCAGGGGCTGGGGAGGCAGCTGGCCCCGGGGAGATGCTGGGATGGCAGTAACTCACCAGCAGCCCTGCACAAGAGCAGTGCTTATTAAAAAGGTCAAATGGAGCCAGCGGGGGAAGGGTTGATGGAAGTAATAAAGGGACACGGGAGTGAGGGAGCCATTGGGAAAGACTGGTTCTGATGAAGCATTTCTTCCAAACGTGGCAGAGGCCAGCCATTCAAGTGAGTAGATGATGGCTGGGTCCCCTACTGGGAATGCCTGGGCTGGAAAACACTGTTGTTGTTTTTTTCTCTGTGGCCCATACTTTTTCCTGGCCCTGTGCAGAGGTCAACAGTGCATCAGCGAAACACTGGCTTAAATAAGAAACAATTGTCAGCAAGCCACTAAAACAGCACTGGGAACCCTCTGTGTGTGCACGCCCGCTGGGGAACGGAGAGGCCATTGAACTGTCACTGGTCACATGACTGAGGAATGACTGAGGCTCCCATAGGTCCATGTCTAGTTCATACATCATCATGGCCACCTCAATCATCATTATAACAAACATTGCCACCACCATCATATTATCACCACCACCACCACCCATTATTATCACTATCATTTCTCACTACCATCATCATCATCACTACCACCACAAGCATCACCATCATTACCATCACCATCATCACCAACATTGTGCACAGCTCACAATTCCATTGAATCCTCTGAACAACCTACACAAAAGATCTGTTACTGCTCCCGTTTTGTAGTGAGGCATGCCAAGATTAAGTTATTGACCTCATCATACCCGTCCACTGAAATGCAGAGTTAGGACTTGACACCCATGTCACCAACCCTAAATTCTGTACTTCAAACTGACATAGTCCAAAGCCTCCCACAATAACCAAAGGATTAGTGAGCACCTACTCTGTGCCTGTTCATAAATACATTGTTGAGAGTGATGCTAAGTAACTTTTTCTCTCAGGACCTCCGCCATCTTGTCAATCCCGTGGGGAGCTGTCACTGACATCCTTACCTGGGAGCGTGGTTCATTGTCTTGAGAATCAAGTGATACTCGCTAGGATTATTTGCATATTCAAATGAATATGACCGTAGAAAATGGAAACTGCCCTAATGGATGCCTCCCCCATCTACTCTACAGCACGTTCTCATCACAGACAGGCACCGTGGTTCTGAGCTGAGGCCAGAACAGGCCATTTCATTTGTCACTGATCCTGAAGGAAAACAAAGGTGAAGCCCATTGTTGGGAGGGGGTGTGAGGAGAGACGGTGGTCAAGTTCATGCTAGCTCAGTGCTCGCTAGCTAGCACTAACTCTGAGAGCCAAAACACCTGGTTTCCGGTGAGTCCCTGTGAGCAGATGAAAAGCTGCCTCTGGTTAATTCCAGTCTTTACTCCTGAGACTCTGAGATGCTTTGTTTATATGTTCATAGCTCTGTCTCTCTCTTTCTCCCTCTTTCTGTCTCTGTCTCTGTCTCTCTGTCTCTCGTGTGTGTATGTGTGTGTGTGTGTGTGTGTGTGTGTGTGTGTGTGTGTGTGTGAACTTAAAGTGTTATTTTCATTGTAATACATGGATGAGCAGACTCATTTATAGTCTTTGTTTGGGTTCCCACCTAGCAACCATTAATTTCACTGGATTCTGATTTGGTAGAGTACAGAATAGGTCCCCCAACCATAGCATTTATCAGGAATATATTCCCCATGGAAAGTGTAGCATTCAGAGTTTGGGAGAAGAAGCCATGGGAAATGTTAGTGCCATGTGAGAGACTTGTCCCGGGCCTGTGACCTTACTCAGTTGTGAGGTTGATGAAGTGGATTCTGGTGTCTCTCATCTGATATTGGGAGTCTGGCAACTTGTACTGTACAGGCAAGATGGGCAAAGGCGCTTTGCCAGGTATCCAGCCCTGGGTTCAGTGTCTGCCAGCAATCTCAGCCACTAAAGACTATCAGTGGGGCATATAATCAATGGGGTTGTACACCGCATAATTCCAGAGTGTCCCATTCATATCCTGCCGCTAGGAACTGAGCCCTTGGAAGGGAGAGGTGAGAAGTTCATCGAGTGAAAAAGGCCTCGTAGCTTCAAGGTCACAGGCTAGAAGCAGGTCAGTTCTTAGACATTTGACTTGGATGATACCAGTGTCCTGGGGGAGGGGAGGGTTGGCACCGTTCCCTAGGGAGCTAAATACACACCTGACCCTCCAGTGAGAAGCTGAAGAGGGGAGGGGTTCATGGGAAGATGGTTCCATGTTGATGATATGACCTGAAACAGCATGTTTGAAACACACACACACACACACACACACACACACACACACACACACACACACACACAGCCTCACCTGAACCATAGAAAGAAAACGAAAATGTCTGTTGCTTCATACCAGTTCTCTACAGAAATCTCCCATGTGGCCTTGGGAACAGACAAGGCAGAGGATTCTGGTAAGTGTAGTTCAAGCTATCCAAGTTTATAAAACCACCACAGTAGGTGAAGGACTTCTGCATTATAAAAACATCAGAATTGGTCAAAATTCGAACACAGGGCCAATCACACATGAAATGTCTTTCAGTGACTTGAAAAAAAATTTAGTAAGTAGCTTATCTTTCTCAGCCACCAAGGACTACCAGAGAGGCATATGGCCAATGGAGTCTTACTCTGCAAAATCGCAGTGTTGCATTCACAATGCTTATGATGTGCACAGTCCACTCCCTTGAGAAGGGTTGCTGGGATAGTTCTACTTAGAATCCAACCACAGCCACCTGTCATAACACTGGTTGGTGACAAGAGAATCAAGTTCTCAGGGCCTCTGAGGAACAGAGATGATCTGACGACCAGCTAGGTCATGCCAACAATTAAAATATCGTTATTCACAAGACTCAGTAGGGGATCCAGGTAAAGAGGAGACAGTCAAGAGGGTCTGGTCATCACAGCAGTCTAGACAATAGATAAAGTCCAGAGATTAGACAGGAAGCAGAGTCCAGGGGGATACAGAAGAGGTGGGAACCTCCTTGTTCCCTGGACTCCATCAGGCCATCCTCAGCACCAGCTGTCTACAGTCAGCAAGGGAGGAGGTAATGCTGGAGACACTGGTGCTAACTTCCACAGAGACACTGGTGCTGACTTCCACAGAGACACTGGTGCTGACTTCCACAGAGACACTGGTGCTGACTTCCACAGAGACACTGGTGCTAACTTCCACAGAGACACTGGTGCTAACTTCCACAGAGACACTGGTGCTAACTTCCACAGAAACACTGGTGCTAACTTCCACGCTTGCACATATGCTGGCACAGGAGTGTAAAGGCCAGAGGTCAACCTCAGTTGATATTCCTCAGGAACCACTCACCTTATTTTCTGAGGCAGGGTCTCTCACTAGGAGCGGGATCTCACTGATTAGTCCAGGCTGGCAGCCAGAAAACCTCAGGGCTCCACCTAAGTGCCGTCTGAACACGGGGATTACAAGTGTGAGCCAACACCTGACTTTTTCTGTGGGTTCTAGATGGTACCAAATGCAGGTCCTCATGCTTTGGCTGTTTCCTAGTTAGGGTTTCTACTGCTGTGATGAAACACCGTGACCAAAGCAACTTGGGGAGGAAAGGATTTATTCGGCTTATGCCTCCCCATCACAGTTCATCATCAAAGGAAGTCAGGACAGGAACTCCAACAGGGCAGGAATCTGGAGGCAGGAGCTGATGCAGAGGCCATGGAGGGGGTGCCGCTTACTGGATTGTTCCCCGTGCCTTGCTCAACCTGCTTTCTTGCTTTCTTATAGAACCCAGGACCACCAGCCCGGGGATGGCCCCACCCATCATGAGTTGGGCGCTCCCATGTCAATCACTAATTAAGAAAATGCCCTACAGCTGGATCTTATGGAGGCATTTTCTCAATTGAGGTTCCCTCCTTTCAGATGACTCTAGCTCGTGTCAAATTGACATAAAACTAGCCGGGACAGACAACCAGCACTTTACCAACTGAACCATCTCCTCGGCCTGAGGGGAGCATGTTTGATGGTTCTAGAAACAGTGGCGTCAAGACAGGGTGACAGAATTAAACTCCCCCTTTCCTGCCTAACACCCACCCCTTCTTCTGATACCCCAACAATTTTCCTTGCAGAACGACCACCCTCTGGCCTCAGTGAACAGGCAGCTCAACCCCAGATAAGGAAACTGAGGCCCACAGTCAGGTGAAAACACTGTCCCAGCCTCAGAGCATGGTGAGGCTTCTGGGAAGCAAATGTCCGCCACGCTGGAGGAGTTAAGCATTTTACAAACCCTCCTATGAGCAATGCAGAGCTGACCCAAGACAGCAGGGCAGGGTCGGATCGTGTTAGGGGAGAAACTCAGTCTGCAAGTGGAAATGCATTCTCCCTTCTGCACCCCTCTTCAGCCAGAACGCCAGCACTTGTAAAACACAAGCAGGAGAGAGCGGGGCTCGTTAAATGGCTAATTCTTTCCCTGCATTGCTTTCCCTAACGTGGCCCCGGAGTCAGCAAAACCCGTTATCTACTTAATCTGATTTGATGGTATGGTGCTGTTTATTTTATGATTTTTTTTCCCTTGTTGGATAATGGCAGGTCCTGAAAGGGTTCTATTGATTGCCCAGCTGCAGGTTTATCGGGGCCAGTCTCAGCCCTCCACCAAATGGAGTCTCCATTAGATTCTTATCTCGCCCCTCCGTAGCTTGAAAGAGTAAATTTAGTTAAGGCTGCAGGATGGCTCCTGTGGGCTGCATTCCCTTTATAATGAAACAAAATTAGAAACTGCTTTGGATTTTAACACTCTCTGTATCCAGTGCACCAAATTACCCCCAGAGGAGAG